GGTGCTCACTCTGTCACCAGGCTGGAGTGCAGTGGCGCCATCTAGGCTCACTGCAACCTCTGCCTCCCGGGTTCAAGGGATTCTCCTGCCTCAGCCTCCAGAGTAGCTGGAAGTACAGGCACCTGCCCACCATGTCTGGCTAATTTTTTGTATTTTTAGTAGAGATGGGGTTTCACCCATGTTGGACCAGGCTGGTCTCGATCCCTTTACCCTCATCTCTTGCCTGCCTCAGCCTCACAAGGTGCTGGGATGACAGGCGTTTGAGCCACCTCGCCTGGCCCTAGTTACTTGTTAACAGCTTTTAAAACAGCGCCCTCGGAGAAACGCTTTGCTTGGCTGCCCTGAAAAGCGGCAGCACAGCACTCCTACAGGTGCTTCTCAAAAGCAGAGGACCCGCCCCAGCCTAGAACACTCTAAAAGTTGAGAAAGCAAAGTGCTTAAAGGGGTTTGCGACCGCTTTCAAAACTCATCCAGTTGCCGCCTGTGGCGACAAAACAGGGTTTCGATCTCAGCCCAGCCCACCCAGACAGACAGCTGCGAAAAGCAAGCTTTGCCCCATCCTGCTTCTTCAGCAAGGCTTTCCACGCAGCCCACGCGGATTTTCTCCTCTCCTCGGATGAACTTCTTTGCAAAGCCGGGTGGCTGCATGGTCCTTTCACAGCCGCACTTGAAAAGTGCTGGTCTGAATCTGACTCGCCGGGGAGAAGAAAGAAAGTTTCTGGCTTCCTGCGGGGGAAATGTTCTTGTGATGACTAGGAGGACCGTTGGATGAGGCGAGGTGCGTGGTGGCAACCCTGAGTCATTCTAAAAACAAACCCGAAACACGCCCATGGCCATCTCCCCAAAACCTCGCCCAAGGAACCACGCCAAAGAAAGACTACCCAACAGAAAATGCAAGAAGAAGAGAAGTCCTTCTGGTCTCTAGAGATGTGAAAGATACCTGTTGGACAAAACAGTATCTAGAAATGGTGGTGGATAACTGTGTTTCAGCCAAGAGACAGGATGCAATCAAAAAACACGCAGCAGGAAAGCCTCAAGCCCATGGACATGTGCAGCCTGCCGTCTACAGCAGCAGCACAGGAGACCACGTTCACAAGCAATCCCCACCCCACGTGCCCAGCAGGGAGAAGAGGAACGCAGGGCAACCACTGAACGACAGGTGACTGAAAATAAAACCTCCCGAGCCCTGGATGCTGAACCTCAGACTCGGAATGAAAGAAGCTTCCCTGCCATCTCATTCTCTCCCGCGAAGACTCAAAAGTCCTTTGTCTTTCTCTGGCCAATGGCTCTAAAAAAACGGACTGTTCTTTGCTGAGGACGCTAGAGCAGCTAGCCGAATTCCAACCCCCTCTCTTGAAAACGACCCAAAAACATGCTGGTCCCGGCCATGTATCATGGGAAACGCGCCTGACAATACATTGTGCTTTGTTTCCC